GGCAAATGGCCTAAAAGTGGTAGCTTGGTTGGGATTTGGGGTAAGACTTTTTTTTTTTTTAATGTTTTTGAAAGAAGTCTCTTTTGCTCACCAATGCTGCATTTATTTAATAAAAAAATACAGCAAAACCGTAATATAGTGAATTTTTGTTATTTAAAATAATTGTTTGAATATATTTAAATATATTTTAAAATGTTATTTATTCCTGTGATGGAAAAGCTGAATTTTCAGCATCATTACTCTTCAGTCTTCAATGTCACATGATCCTTCAGAAATCATATTAATATGCTGATTTGGTGCTCAAGAAACATTTCAATGTTGAAAACAGTTGTACTGCCTAATAGTTTTGTGCAAACCATGATGCATTTTGCTTTCAGGATTCTTTGATATATAGAAAGTTGAAAAGAACACCATTTATTTGAAATATAATTTTTTTTGTAGCAATATAAATGTATTTACTGTAACTTTTGATCAATTTAATGGATCCTTGCAGAATGAAAGTATTAATTTCTTTTAAAAAATAATGTTCTTTTTAGCAGCATCATATGACCCCTTTAAAGTATATTATAATAGAAATTAGTTATTTTAAATTGCAAAAATATTACAATTACGCTTACAACTCTGGGGTTTGTGGCAAAAGTGTGAAGGTCGACAATTTGGTCGACGCGTCCATCACTTAATTCACTACAGTACAGTGAATACAGCTCTTGTAACTCCTCAGGTACACAAAGTCCTTGATCTGTGGACAGAATGAATAAATAAATATTTTATCTAATGTTTATAATGTCAGATGCTATAATCTCTCTCTTTAAAGACATCAGTCCATTTCAGTGACCCACACCTTCAATTAGAGCCTTCTGCTGGTGTATGATGTCATCACAGAGCGTCCGCTGCTGCTCGTGGCGCTGGATGATGAAGTCTTTTGTTCTGAGAACGTATTCTTTGCAGAGAACAGCTGACTGGATTTCAGTTTTTTCAAGTTCTAGCTCATGAACCTTGCAAAGCAATGTCAGAATGTCTCTCTGCTCACGGTTACTTATGCGTTTAGGAAGCAATTCCTCAATCTTAGATGACTTTAGTTTCATATTCATTAACTTTTCTTCCAGCTCACGCTGAAAAAAGTAAAGAAACCAATAGGGAAATAAATTTGCCTCTTGTTTAAGCTGACATCATAAAACAGCATGTTTAAAAATATGAGAATTTTATATGAAGTACTGCTGTCACTGCTTGACATGTCATGTCAGATTTCCATTTGCATTCATGACTCATTTAAAATTAGTCTTAATTACTTAATGAACATAATTACTTTGAGCTCCATTGTCTTTCTCTGTTCAGCCAGTAGTGGGCCAATCTCCTCTCGAGCTGCTGTGACATACTGCGGCTCCTCTGGTCCACTCTCTTGCTCTTCCTCCTCTCTCTCTGTCTGTCTATCTCTGTCTGTTTTCTCTCCGGTTACTTTGTCTCTCCCTTGCCGGGCACATGCTCGATCACGCTCCCAACTACCAGAGGAAGAAAAGAGAAGGAGGGTTGATGTGAGATAAAAATAAGAAAAAGTTATAATACTAATGTAGGGAAGGAGCCTATTTATAACAAGGAGTATAGTATTTTTGACTACATAAAAGTTTTAACATGGATAAAACCGTTTCTTTTCTTTCTTTCTTTCTTTTATCAATTGTCCTGCAAAATATCAAGTGGATTTTGGTATAATGTGTGATGGTGTAGATTTTTAATATTGTATGACGGAAATGATATAAGTTGGTAATAACATCTTTGGAAGACAAGCCCAAAATAAATACTCTGTCAAATGTTCAATTTTAACACTATTAAAATACAGAAAAATTAATTAAAGAGACACAATACCATTATAAAGGCATTAAAAATATATCCTTATAAAGGTTTCTCTTTTTCAAACTAGGTGACAGAAAGGTTTCCCTAATCAGTGTTGTTTTAGTATAATTGAGATACTATTATAGATTTTATTTATATTTTGAATGTTAATATTTGTTCTATATTTAAAATTTTTATATTTTCAATTTTTTATCCAATTTATTGTCATTTTGTACTTTTTTTGTAGTTTTTATTAGCTGTCTACACACACACACACACACACACACACACATATCATTTTTTCCCCCTCTCAGTTAAGGAGGTTGTTCACCCAAAGAATGAAAATTCTGTCATCATTTACTCATCCTCAAATTGTTCCAAACCTTACTTTCTTCTGTTGAACACAAAAGAAGATATTTTGAAGAATGTTGATAACTAAACAGTTGCCGGTAGCCACTGACTTTCATAGTATGGCAAAAAAAAAAAAAGAGTTACTTTACTAAAAAGAGTTACTTTACTAATTAATCATACAGGTTTGGGTGAATGAGGATGAATGAACAACAGGAGGGTGAATAAATGACAAAATTTTAATTTTTGGGTGAACTATCCCTTTAACGTTATTTTTTTTATGGTTTTAGTTTTAGATAACTATAAGAATTACTGATGACTGGAACTCTGTCTGTATGTTTAAGTGTTTACTCTGAGATGGTGAGCAGATGTCTAGATGTGTCTATATGAAGTTCCATATTGCAGTTCTCCAGCTCCATGAGGCTGCGCCTGATCTCCATCTGCTCCCTGAAGGCAGACAAGAGCTGCTCCTGCAGTAAAGCCATCTCACCATGACTGTACTGCTGCACCTCAGCTAAAAACAGCCCATACAGAGAAAGCAGATGGCAATCATAAAAAAATCTTTAATCTTTACATTTTTACTGCTATTTCAAGAAAGATTTTATATTATTGCTCATACTTGCAGTTAAAGATTTGAACACACTACTAAGTATTAAACTTTTGTGCGTAACTCAAGCAGTGAGTATATGTCAACCTAAAATCCTGATTTAAATAAAAAGTTTATTTCAATATTATTTGTCAGCAACTGTACCCAAATACCAACATACAAATTGAACACAACCTTGAATTTCACGAATGTCTGCTTTCTCTCCTTTCTGTTGCTCTTGACTCTGTTGGTCAATCTTTGCACAAAGTCGGTCAATTTCACTCCGTAGATCAGCAATAATTCTTGTATATTGGGCCAGGTGATATGAAACATTCATCAAATTACGTTTCACCTAGAAGAATTTAAAACAGAATAGCAAGAGAGGATCTTGCCTGCATCTCAACACAATGAAATCACAAATACAACCACAATGGGGTGATCAGACACTGAAAATTAAGAGATCTCATTAACACCCATAATATTTATGGAGTAAATATTTTCAAGTTCAACAAAATTATGAAAAATCTTTTCAATATAATTCTGAATCAATAATGTTAAACCTTAACAGAAAATAATTTATTAGTGGAATATACACTACCATTCCACATTTTTTATTCATCAAAGAATCCTGAAGAAAAATGTATCCCGGTGTCCACACAAATGTTAAGCAGCACTTGTGTGTTCTAGAAAGTGTTTCTTGAGCACAAAATCAGCACGAATGCTTTCTGAAGGATCATGTGACACTAAAGACTGGAGTAATGATGCTGAAAATTCAGTTTTGCCACAGGAATAAACTACATTTTAAAATATATATAAAATTGATCACAGATATTTTCAATTGTAAAAATATACACAATATAACTTGGTGAGCATAAGAGACTTTTGCAAAAGCATAAAAAAACTAAACTTAATTCATTTTAATATTCATTTATTTTTTGTGATACTTCTTCATTGCTTTTTTTTTATATTAACATCAGTAGTTTTACATTTTGCCTGGTAAATAGTTTAAAATAATCATCTAGTTACTGCACATTGTTTAGACAAATACTATTAAGTATGTGTTTACCTTGGTTCTTATATTTTTGGCTTTGTCGGCATAAACCAGTGTGTTTCTTGACTCTTCAAAGTTGGAGCTGGCAGGACTGATATGGGTTATCATGACTGTGCGACTGTTTCCTCCTAAAGCGTCCTGAAATTCACATCAAATCCTATTGCAACTGCGTGGCAACTGTCAAAACCATGTCTTCTTAATGATCAAGGAGTTTGTGAATATTGTGTGGGACTTTTTTCTCGTAATTCTGAGTTTATATCTTAAACTTCACACTTTTATGTCTTTAAATTCTGAGAATTCAAAATATAAACATGCAATTCTGAGAAAAAAAAAAATCTCACAATTTGGACTTTTCAGACTCAAGCTTGTTTCCATTACAGAATTCAAAAAATAAAAAATGTATTTGTGACTTTTTTTCCTCACAATTGCGAGTTATATTTAGTAAATTCTGAGAATTGTGAGATAGAAAGTTACAATTACCTTTTTTATTCCGTGGTGGAAATAAGCTTCCATAGATTTTGCTCACCTTAAGAAGTCGAGTGAGTTTGCTATCTCTGTAGTTGACAAACTGAGCTCCTTTCCCACCCTTCTCACTCAAGGCATTGATGCAGTTGGCCAGTGCTAACAGAGAACGGTTTATATGTGCTCCTTCCTTCATTCTCTTTCCTCTGTTTTGAGTCTGAGAAAAGAGAATATGTGCTTTAGAACAGGACACAAGACTGTCTGTTGGTGTTCACAGACAAAACAACTGTGTAAGAATGTCTGAATTTAATGAAGGGTGATGTTTTGGCTGCCATATGAGATGTAACATGCTCAAATTCCTTAATCGGTCTCACATTATATTCATATGAATAATGAAGGACAGAAAAGCTTAAATATTCATTTCGGTGAAAGACGAGGAAGGGTGCCGAACTATAAAATCTGGCCTATAAAATCTAATTCAGCACATCAAAATACACAGCACGTACCTGTGATGCTCGCTCAGTTCCTGCCAAGTCTACCATGAATAGCTTCCCCACCCTGACCTCCTCGTTGATATCCTTTACACGACTCTTTTGCTTGACTGTCACCTGTGAAGCAGACAAAGCAGCAGATGCACACTCAGACTACAGCATGCCAATTTGAGGTCATGTACATGGTTAGTGTGTGTATGTGTGTGTGTGTGTTCTAGACTTGCTTGAAGTATAGCATGAGAGCGAGATGATGTCTTGTTAGCAGCTGTTGACTCCTGAGTCCTCTGTTTATTCCCTTTGGTCAAAAGAGCCATTATCTAAAATCACAGACAAACACCAGGTTCAGAAAAACATCATCCTTTATTGGAGACACTAAGGAGAAAACAGGCGAACTGTAGGAAATGAATGGGCAGCAAAAGTAAATGGTAGTGTATGGTAGGCTATTAAAAAGTACCTCCTTAGCATTACATGTAGAGAATTCTGTGATGCCGGCAATACGTATTTCGCCTTTAGCATCCTCACGCAGCTCAAGGTATCCAGAAGATGGATTTAACATATCTCTGATCATCTCATTATAAATCTGCAAAGAAGTTCATTAGTGTTTAGTGCATTCAGGACACACTCCATTTGTAAAGTCCCAAAAGGACAGTACCAAATTTGATGTAATATTTTTTAATACAGTATCTAACAATAAGACTGACCTCTATATATGACATATAAACACTGCAATCCAAGTCCTCAGTGCTGTCTTCAATGGCCCTGAAGAGATCATTGAGTGTTCGGATGTAAATGCCAGGCTCAGAATCTAATCCTAACATAGTGTATGTCTTTCCAGCTCCTAAAAAATGAAATGAAGAAATGAAGCAGAAAATGTGAACACAGATATATTGGTTAGTTTACTTTCTCTACCTAATTAAATGCTTACTTTTAGAGGGTCGTCTTGTCTGATCTGAGGTCATAAGCGGTAATTTGCAGACCCAATCAATGGTAAGGCGAAGTGTCAGTGATCAATTTAAAATGAGCATTTTCATTTTTTTTTTATCCCATTAGGTTCAACATTTTTTTGTTTTAGAAGAATTTTCATTTAGGATAATAGGAATGAACAGCATGTGAATTTCTATCCAAACACTAAACAGAAAACTTCACATCAACATTACCCGTGGGTCCATATGCAAAGACTGTGGCATTATAACCAGCAATCACACCATCAATAAGATTTTTTGTTGTTGCCACATAAACATCCTCCTGAAATAAAGAAAAAGTAAATAACATGGGAGGTCTGGAACTGTGGTCATGCTGAAACTTTCAAAACCTTAAATGACAGTTAACACCAAAAATTATCTTAAGACTGATGACTCTCTTTCAAGAAACTGCACCTAAAATTCTCAGTGAACATGAAGGACAATGATCAAGTATCCCATGACCTATAAAAATACAAAAAAATTATTTTGTGTGGAAGAGCATCACTACTACTGACCTGGGTGGCAGTATAGTCGAATACCACATCAAACATGTATGTTTTTTCACGTGAGCGGTTGGACCTCAGGAAATTGTCAGAGTCCTCACAGGGGTCCATCAACACCACCATCTGAAGACAGTAATTAAACATGAGAATTAACTCCAAATATTAGATCAATTCTGCAATGTTTAAACATGAACTTAACTGCAAAATAAATGACTACATATTATGCAATATGTTAAGACCCACACTCTGTCACTTACTGTCCACTACTGTTCGAAAGTTGTTTTGTTAATCACTCATACACTCACCAAGACAGCATTTATTTGATCAAAGTTCAGTATAAACAGTCATTTATTTAAAATATATATTTTTTTGTAAAAGGCTTTACTGTCACTTTTGATCAATTTAATGTGTTCTTGCTGAATAAAAGTATAAATTGTTTTCAAAATAAAAATCACTGACCCAAAACATTTGAATGGTAGTGTACATGGCAAGAAAAATCTTTCATGTTGTGCTTTTGGACCTGGATTCTTATTAAATGTTGGTTGTGTTTCAGCCTTCCTTCTCTTAGCAAATTCTCTGAGAAACTGACACCTATTTGCTATTTCTGCAGACACCTACTTTTCCCCCCCAAGTCTTTTGCACTTAATTCGCACCTTTCCTTTTTGGCAAACCTCAGAATGACGCATTCTTTCATAATTTTGTCATGACTCTTTTTTTTTTTTTTGCCTGTTCTGCTTTGCCAAAATATGCCTAATGATTATATTGCATCTGAAAATAGGGTGTTTGTAACTTTGTAAGCTACACTCTCCCTCATTAGGAATTAATATCTTATAAATCATAGCGGTCATTCATTATTATTACGATTGATGTGGTTTGGAATTGGAAAAATGTGCTTGGAAAAATATGATCAGAATATTCACTTCTGATTATGCATACAAAGAAATGTCTGCAGCATGATTCTTTGAATCCCGAGACATCAAGCATAAGCAAAGAAGACAGTAAACCTTATTTACTGACTGTAAACAGGATTTACTGAAGATGAAAGCGAGGATTAGGTCTTTAGACCATCATTCATCATGACAGGCTCTGCAACAGAATCAGGAGTTGTGAACGTCATGCACATGTTTCCAAAACCTGTAATATTTACAAAAATATACAGGGGAGACTGGGGCTAGCTGTCACAAGGCTACATGTTCCTAACTAGGTTTCAAGTCAAAAGTCACTAAAGGTAAACAATTGATATTAATTTCAGAAAATAAGTATGTATTAAAGTAATGCTGGACATGTGTCTCAGTGGTCTTTTGTGTTTGTTGTTTTTTTCCCCAACCTGTCTGTCAATCTTGTGCGCCACTGTGGTTGCACCCTCCTTGATCTCTGCATCGTTCAGTGGTCGGATGCGCAGAGCAACCTTGAATCAATGTACATCATTTATTAAAAAAAACATAACTTCTCCCTTCTCCCGAGCATAGAACATTAACAAAGTGCATTCATATTATTAAAATGCAATGAAATTTTGATTCATGTGATAATTAGAATCTCTAAGAACAACTGATCTGTTAACCACTATAGGAGACTGGGGCTAGCTGTCACATATGGACAAATTCACAAGTGTTATATCTCAGTAACTGTATAGTTTTGACACTGCACTGCACAATTAGCAAAGTGTCAACTTTTTAATAAACATCAGTATTAACTGAAAGTTGAACTGTGTTCTCAAGACAGGGGTATGTCAGGCCAGAGCAAGTTGTCACATGTGGTTTATATGTTTTTAAATATTATAACCCATTACAATCTCTGATAGCCAAAACAATAGTTTAATATTTTTGCACACTACACCATTAAGTATTTGGTAAGTTGGTAAGATTTAAGTTTTTAACGTTTTTGAAAGAAGTTACCAAGACTGCATTTATTTGATGAAAAGGTAATCAGTAATATTGTGAATAACTTTACATTTTAAAATATATTCAAACAGAAATTTTAATCCTGATGACAAAGCTGAATTTTCAGCAGCCATTACTTAGTCTTCAGTCCTTTTAATTTGAATCTGCTGATTTGGTTCTCTTATTACTGTAGTATCACTGTTGAAAACTTTGTTGTGCTGTCTCATATTTGTTGTAATTCATTTTTTTCTTACTTGTGTTTTCATTAATTATTTTGCAATTGTATATAATTGTATTTTATAATTGGTTTTCCCCTCTTAAATTTGTCAATAAACACTAGGTTCCCTTTAGACAACTTACCCATTTAATGTGACAACATGCCCTGCCACAAAAGGTATTTTTATATATTTTTGTAGCCACGACTTTAATGTGTATGTCAGCAAAGATTGATGTAGTGACTTATTAATGGATGTTATTATAGAGTGCTACCACTTGTTTCATTAGAAACGTTCTGTTCATTTGTTTACCCTCTCCTGTCCCAAAGGAGCCACATTATCAAGCATCTCTAGGAGAAGTCTGTACATTTCCATGCATGAAAATATACAGGCCAAATAATCTTCGCGTTCAGCGTTACTGTTGAATGAACTGTGGCGCATTAAATAAAGTTCGATAGCCTACCGTGAGCTGATGGTCCTCCCACTCTCCTGGCAAATCCTTCATCTTTTTATTCCCAAATTACTTCAACCCTGTGCTGTATCACAGCCTGTTTTAACGGACAAAATCAAAATACACCTCAGCTAGAGCCACGCTAGAATATACTGGTGATTTAACGTGAGTTAATCTTCTTGATGGCTGGTAATCTCATTCTGAGGCAGGACTGTGTGCTGGCCCCTGCGGAGGTCCTCAAGTCACCAGCGGACTGTTGTTAACGGTGATAAAAACCCTAGAGGTGTCAAACAACCCATTCAGGGACTGGGTCAACCCATCCTCTCAGGAGTAGCTAAAAGAACATTTTTGTCAGTCCAAACCATAGTCATCCTCATATTTACTTTGATATTTAGAGGTCTTGACTCGTACTCGACAAAGGTGGACTCGGACCCAACTCTATTTAGAAGTAAACGAGAGTGAAGGATTTCGAGGAAACTGTTACTGTTGCCATGGAGAGATGTACACACTCGTTCGGATACAAGACAAGATTTTGGGCCAAAATGAGTCGGCCTAACTAATATATTTGTGTCTTATTGCTCGCATGTACTCTCTTGGTTTATTGTATTTTATTCTGGGGCTTTTAAGCGTTTACCTATTGCATTTGCAGGGCTTCCCAAAACTCATACCACTGATCTATATTTACATGTTTAGTGTTATTTATCGGCATTTCAAAAAGCTTTTTGTACTCCCCCCCCCAAATAATATCAGCAGTTTTTAACATAGATATGTTTAACTATGGTTTTAATCACTGTCATCACGATCTTGCTTTATTTTGCAATGCGGAAGCTATTTTCTCTTAATCTGCGACTTCATATTCATAAAGTGCAGTAAACTGTAAAACTATTTGCAGTACAAACCAGTGTATTTATGAGTATGATAATAAAATAAAATAATATGATAATAAAATATCAGGACTGTTTATGTACAGGAAAAATAGCGAAACGATGTCACCGGAAGATTCGCACATTCAAATTTCAAATTACAAATGGCCGCGCCGCTGTAAAACCAACTACTTTGTCAACTATTAGAATATAATACAATGAAATAGTACATAATGTAGTATTGGTTGGGTGTTTGGGGCTTAGAGATGGGACTGACATGACCTCACTGTTTTTGCACAAAATAAACACAACGTTTAAAAAATTTATTAATTAATAAAAAAAAAATATAGGCCCGGTTTCACAGACAGGGCTTAGCCTAAACCAGGATTAGGCCATTGTTCAATTAGGACATTTAAGTAATTTTTATAAACATGCCTTAGAAAAAAGCATTACTGGTGAGCATCTTAAGACAAAACAAAGGCACTGACATGTTTTAAGATCAGTCAGTGCAAGTTTCTTTCAGTTGAAACAGCTCAGATTTACATTTTAGTCTAGGACTAGGCTTAAGCCTTGTCTGTGAAACCGGGGGATAGTGTTTTAACAAAATTAAACCACAGGAGAGACGTCAAGTCACTTACATTTACTATAGGAGTAAACACACAATCTTGTATGTTTGTATGGAGGCTTTAAAACAATTTCAGTTTGTGGCAAATTAAAGTAAAATAAAACGTAGTAAATTAAATAAAATACAAAGAAAATTTTTATATATTTTTTTTTATGATGCTTGTGAAGACATCATTTCTAAATTCATAAATTATACTTGCCTATCAAATGTTGTAATGCTTTTACTGTGTTCAAATTCCATTATAATTTTAGAATTATCCTGTACAAGTGCAGCTTGGATTTGACATTATTCCTCCTGATACTGTCTGCAGCACATGCCAAGTCACAAGTGAGAATTCCATGATGTCTATAAGTATTTCCATTGGAATGATGGTGGGAAAAAAATTGCATTATGAAAAGATTTCCCTAGTAAACAAAATGTTCTTATACGAAAGACCAGACCACAGAAAGACAAAAGAAATTCCTCTCTTGTATCAGACATGTTTTCTTTGGAGAAATGATAACCCACAAAACAGTACCATTGGTTATTGAGAAGTATCTTGCTCTGTCAGTAAGAATAGCAAATGATAAATCACTGCCTTTTACTCCTTTCAGTGAATCCACAAGAAAATTGTATGAAGGGGGATTATGAAGAATATGAGCTCTTACTTAAATTCATATTAGAATCAAACAACTTCCCTTCTCAGCAGGAATATACTGAATGTGAATCAGTAATCGTGTTTACTTGCACTTTAAAAGTTTGATTTTAGTCAGACTTAAACAATAATTTGTCTGTTTAAAATGTAATTTAAGTTATTTAGTCCGACTAGAATCATACCAGTCCGGTTTTTGCAAAATATTTCTTCCTTTAAATATTTGATTATGCACGTGTGTGAACTTTTTGCTCAACTGTGCAAAAACCAGCTTGATTATAACTGCGCATATAAACATACTCGGTGTATCTGTCATACAAAGCACTGGTGGTACTCTCTGGGGGTGATAATTTTGTCTCACAGCTGGAAACAGTAGTGCTTTCTGTGTAGGTCTATTCTAGATCTCCGAGAGGAATGATCTCTTCACTGATAAAGAACTCGATGGTTTCCTCTTCCCAGTCCTCCACATTACTGTCCAGTTCATCTGTGTCCACACCTGAGAGATGATAATTCAGTGCAACTCAATGAACTTATAACAGATGGAAAAGTATGTCGGCAGAGAATGAGGACTATAGAGAGAGTCCGAATAAAGGGGGGAAAAATGTAAGAAAGGACAGTGTTTCTCACCTCCTCTGAGCTGAAGGCGCAGCTCCCTCTGTTGGTTGTAAAGCTGAATGGCACTTTCTTTGTTCCGGCTGTATTCTTCCATCATCAAACGACGTTTATCCACTAACTCCTGCATCAAAAGCATTGTGGAAGCATTGTAATATTAAATAAATAATAATAAAAATTATAATATGAATGTACATATATGTATGTATTCATATATGTACATATATATTTATATAAAACTATATAAAAAATATACAAACATTTTAAGAAAGAATAAAATAATGATTTAATAAATATGGATGATGGATAATTAATACATTTAAAAAGACAAATATGTCAATAGGTTTATTTGATTATATTTTGGTATTGAAGATATTTGTATTGAATTGATTTTTATATCTCTTAAAAACTGAGTAAAATATCCTGCTAAACACATTCACTCAATCATTAGGATTTGCAAAGGAAAAAAACAACAACTGACCTTAGAAGCCTTCGACTGGCTCAGTCTGTCCTTTTGTTCAAAGATTTTTGAGTACTTTTTGAGGTCCTTCTTAATTGCCTGTTAAAATAAGGAAAGCCTCTATGGTATAATTTTCTGGGTAAAGTTCTTATAACTTTCGCATCTGTACAAAATTGTGTAGATGTTACAAATGTAAAGAGTAGAAAAGGCTGTCACCTTTATTTGCTCTTGACCTAGTAAAGTAGGAGGGCGTGGTCTCCATAGCAACTGGCAGAATCTGTCTTTGTTGTTCTTTTGCAGAAGACGTCCCTGGAATGTCCAAAGCCAGTATGCATTGTCCACCTGTATGCAGAGTAAGTAAATTTATGCAAGTAAAAAAAAAAAAAAAGCATTATGAGGATAAACGTATAGTAACTTAAGGAAGTGAACAAGTCAAATGACCTTGTGGCTCCACCAGGAAACAGAAGTCACCACATATCTGCCGGTAGGGTCCCATTCCACATCAGAGGCCATGTAATGCTCTGCGATATACATAATGGTACAATCTGACGTGTCCACAAATGCAAGAGCACCATTCATACTGCACAGAAAAAAAGAAAAATATAATCTGTATGAGCCAAGCAATTAAGATGTAAGAAAAACATCTGACATTTACCAGACATTTCTATTTCGAATAAATGCCTTTATTTTAAACATTCTAGTCATCAAAGAATCCTGGAAAAAAATGATCATGATTTCCATTAAAAAAAAAAAAAACTGTTTTCAACAATGATAATAAGGAATTTTGTGCACCAAATCAACATATTAGAATGATTTCTGGATCATGTGACACTGAAGACTGAAAATTCATCTTTGCCATCACAGGAAAAAATTACATTTTAAAACATCAAAATAGAAAATAGTTATTTTAAACTATAATAATTCACAATATTGCTGTTTTACTGTATTTTTGGTAAAATACATACAGCCTTGGTAAGCGTAAGACTTCTGTCAAAAACAAAAATTACAAACCCCAAACTGTTGAACGCTATTTGCAATTTAAATATAATATAATATATAAACTAACCTGCGCAGTCCTGCCAGTACCAGGAACTGACCTTGAGGACTCCAAAAGATACTGTTGGCCTGCTGCTTATCAAACATCTCTGGAAAACCACAGAATATTCACACACAAACAAACACACACACACACACACACACAACTTTTTTTGAATACAAAATTCAACAGGATAATATTAGTAACATAAATTTACATAGTATTAAATGTACTAATCTAGATTTACATCTTTAAAAAACATGACTGGCACTTACTGATGAGATCAATCTTGCCATTGCTTTTGACGTGGTAAAATGAGGCATTTATTCTGGGTGATTCTCCATGTAGTACCGCAAACTTACTGCCATTGGGCTCCCAGGCAAATGCAATGATGCTCTCTAATAAAGATCAGATGTTCCATTTAGTTCAATATACTATTAAATGCTCTTTATGGCCTTTAAGAGAATTTAAGGTCTTGGTTACCTTTCATCTCTACCACATCAACAGGAACCTGTTTCTCTCTCATGCGGAAAATCTCAAAGTTTGTGACAACACCCTATTGAAGAGCAGAAAATTAATTGGGGAAATTTGAAGACCTTTGAAATTATTAGAGAACTTTCTACAAACACACACACACACACACACACACACACCTGTGTTCCTCTGGGTGTTCGGTCCACCTTCACACACAAGTAGTCACCCTGCCTTTGCCAATGAAGCTTGCAGTCCACCACGTTGAAAAGATTTCGCACCCGAATCTCTAAACGGGATGGGAACTGCATGAGCGTTACCCTGGCTGGAATGTCCTTGTCTTCCGGGACCCAAAAGGCAATAATGTTGTCTCCCGGTGACCAAGAAAAATCTCTATTGGACAGGAAAAAATTTTTAGGGTTGCATTTTACAAAAACCTGGCTTCCTGATAAAACTTAAAGATAGATCACTCT